CACACAAGGAATTTGTCTTGGTGCAAATGCTCTCAGTGTACATAAAAGAAAAGATACATTCATCAAGAGTCAAGAATCATAAGTTACAACACTTAATAGTAGTCATAGGTGCAATAAGCAATCAAACAATACTAGGAAACAGTCCATATAAATCATACAAGCGACAAAGTCACAGTGATACAGTCAGAAGTGGGAGGGGATGGGCGATAAGGAGTGATGAGAAGATTAACAGTAATAGTAGTGTACACTTTGTAAATAGTTGAACAGTGTTGAGGGAATTATTTTTTTAGCAGAGTGATGGCTTTCGGGGGAAAACTGTTCTTGTGTCTAGTTGTTCTGGTGTGCAGTGCTCTATAGCATCGTTTTTAGGGAAGGAGTTGAAACAGTTTATGTCCAGGATGTGAGAGGTCTGTAAATAGAACTACCTACATTCTTGAGTTCCTTGTTCAGTGACAGAAAAAGGACTTTTTCCCTTGAAACAGGGTGTGGAACAAGTTTGTTTTACAAGGTAGATGAAACATATGTGGACATTGGCATGTATGCACTTGTCCTTTTCTGCTAATAACTTCTCAGCCAACAGAGAAATAAGTGTGAGAAATCTTTTTCCACTTAACCTCAGTAAGGGGGGGGCGGGAACCCTGACCAAATCCAATGAATTTTTTTTCCAGAGAAATATAAAAATATAAGCCTTGTATGAGTGACCCGAATGCATTCTGAATCGCAAAGAGCAGCACTGAATTTTGATCTTTCTTTGCAGAAATCAATTTTACATCTTAAGTTTTGCTTTTTCAGACAAGAAGGTCGCAAAGAGGGAAGGGCAAAGCAATTCTTGCATGGAACATACAGACTACACAATAACAGAGTTGGAAGGGACCGTAGAGGTCATCTAGTCCAACCTGCTGCTTAAGCAGGAGACTCTCTTCCATTTCTGACAGATGGTTGTCCAGTCTCTTCTTGAAAGATTTCCAGTTTTCGGTGGTTGGTTAGCATTGCAACAATGCAAGAGCACACAACCGATACAAACTCAATGTAAACCGCTCCAAACTTAATTGCAGAAAGTACGACTTCAGCAACAGAGTGGTCAATGCCTGGAATGCACTACCTGACTCTGCTGTTACACCCTCTAATCCCCACTCCTTTAACCTCAAACTATCCACTATTGACCTCACCCCATTCCCAAGAGGTCTGTAAGGGGTGTGCATAAGTGCACCATTGTGCCTACCGTCCCTGTTCTATTGTCCCCATTCATTTGTACCTATTCCTGTTTATACTTATACCTATTATCTTATAAGCAATTGACAAATCAAATAAATAAAGTTGATAGATAGATAGATAGATAGATAGATAGATATGATAGATGATAGATAGATGATAGATAGATGACAGATAGATAGATAGATAGATAGATAGATAGATATAGATAGGTAGATAGAGATGATAGCTAGATAGATGATAGATGGGTTAGATAGGTAGGTAGGTAGAAGATAGCTAGATGATAGGTAAGTAGACCAGTCAATGACTACATCAGCTTTAACCGCAACAATACAAGAGCACACAACAGATACAAACTCAATGTAAACTGCTCCAAACTTGATTGAAGAAAGTACGACTTCAGCAACAGAGTGGTCAATGCCTGGATTGCACTACCTGACTCTGATGATGGCAGATGAGATTCTGCCGAAACGTTGCTACAACTTTAAAAGCACGACTATAATGACGTGGGAAAATACCCGAACAAAGCTGAATAACATACATGTAAGTACCCGCGAAAACTTAAGAAAATATATGTATGTATGTATGTATATATGTATGTAGGTCTAGGTGTGTTTGGGTCTTTTTCCGTGTAAGATTAAGAGTATCTTGGCAACATTTCGGCGAGGTCCCACTCGCCATCCTCAAGCTGGTGCTTTCGGCTTCGTGCCAGTGCAAGCAGTGTGTGATCGGAGCTGCCGTCTCACTATAAATACTGGTGGTGGGGGCTGGTTGGCTGCGCTGCTGCCTCTTGATTGGTTGATGGAGTTGATGTTGGTATAATGGGCTGTGCGATGGCCTTGTGAGTTTTGTTGTGGAGATATCCTGGATTTGTGTTGTAATCTCCTGGGTTGTTTGTTTTGTAGTGATCTTTTTTCCATTAGCCCCCAAAACCAAACAAGCTGACACACGCCAAGAACACAGACCCAGACCCCAAACTCAAAGCCAGACTAAAACCCAGAATGCTACATCACAGCCACCCGCTCAGGATATCACATCAGAAAACCCAGGAAATTACACCACAAGAACTCAAGAAGTTGCAACACAGCAAATGACCCAGGATATCACAGCACAAGACCAAGGATACCACAGCAATAAATCTCACAAGGTCATCACACATGTTCCTCCAATAATATAATTTATTCCATACATTGTATTATTCTGATTTATCTTGTTCTTTCAATTCTCCTGTCAACCTTTCAATTTCGGTGCATTGAAAAATCTTATTAATCGTAGCATCTTCACTTGGAATTTCATTTGCTTTCCAATTTTGGGCGAATATTATTCTTGCTGCTGTCCTTATGTGTATAATTAGATAGGTATCGGTTTTGCTAAAGTTCTCTTCCATTATTCAGTAACTGTGAGAGGGATCTTGGAGTCTTAGTGGACAACCAGCTAAATATGAGTCAGTAGTGTGAAGCAGCAGCCAAAAAGCTAAGGCAATCCTAAACTGTATTAACAGAGGGATACAATCAAGATCAAGGGAGATACTAATACCACTCTATAAAGCCTTAGTAAGACCACACCTAGAGTACTACATCCAGTTTTGTTCACCACACTATAAAAAAGATGTTGAGCCTCTAGAAAAAGTGCAGAGAAGAGCAACCAGGATGTTTAGGGGACTGGAGACTAAAACATACGATGAACGGTTGCAGGAACTGGGCTTGGATAGTCTAGTAAAGAGAAGGACCAATGACCTCCCACCACATCTTATCTTACTTGGCATTAAGGAATGTTCCTTCAGCAGGGCCTCTTTCGAACGGTCTGAGAACAAAGAAATATCTATTCCTAACACCACACATGTTACACATTAATGTTACATTCAGCACATCTTCGTAGAACAACATGCATCTCTAACATATTCACCTATGCAAATAAAAGTCTGATAAACTTAAGCAGATGCTTTGAAAAACAAAATCTAACTTCAATTGATTAAAGAAAATTAGGGCAATGGTTTTTTTCTTATCCTATTGTCCTCCTAATCCAGGAAGAAATAGGGGTGGCATTACTTGATACAGGAGGATGTAATAGATTGCAGGTACATGTTTAACAATGAGTAAATGTATTAAAAATATATTTACAGGTTACATCAAGATAGTAAATGTCTATAGAGGAACTGTCTTCTTAATACTATAATATACTATTCTATTCAACTACATTTTATTTTTGAATTTTCTTATTTCTAACAATTGCAAGAACTTCTAATAGTAAAATATTGTTAGATAAGCACTCCAAACATTACCAGTATGGAATAATCACTGAAATATGGCGGGTATCTGAAGAAGGGACGATAAAATTAACTAATCAGAACAGAGCCAGAAAAGACCGTGGAGCTTTTCTAGTCCTATCCCCTGCTCAAGAGGAGACCCTACACCCGTGATGGTGAACGTATGGCACGTGTGCCACAGGTGGCATGCAGAGCCATTTGTGCCGGCACGCAAGCTGCAGGGAAACTTACCTCACTGCGCATGTGTGCGCCTCACAGCTGATTTTTGGCTGGTTTGAGGCCTTTTCCGGCCTGCCAAAGACTTGAGGAAAGTTTCTGCAGGCTTCTGCAGGCTTTGCAGGCTGAAAACTAGCCCCGTTTCATCACTTCCTGTTTTTCCGAAAATACCGGAAGTGGTGAAATGGGGCTAGTTTTCGGCCTGCAAAGCCTGCAGAAACCTTCCTCAAGCCTTTAGGAGGCCAAAAAAGGCTCAAACCGGGCGAAAATCAGCTGTGAGGCGCAGTGCAGGTAAGGGGACAGTGTGGGTGGGTGGGTATTATGCACACATGTGGGGAGGTGTGGGGGGGGTGCACATTTCCTTCTGGGTGCTGGCATGGGAGCGCGAGCATGCAAGCACACACACAATTTTTGGCACAGCCCAAAAAGGCCAAAAAGGTTAGCTGGTCTATAATCTGCTATAATCTGGTCTATAATCTGCTCATAATTATTTAGGGATTCTCGGCCCAGAGGTTTGCAACTACAAGGGATCGTAACCACAAAGCCCAGCTGTGGTCCATCATGACTCGTTTTTCTATGACTCCAGAGTTATACATAATAAAAACACAAAAATACAGCTGTTACAGATTATTGGCTGACTGTACCAGCCTTCACTGGTAAATTACAACTGGATGAATGTATATCTACCCATGAGAATTGTTAAAATAAATATCCTGAAAAACATCAGCATATATCCACATTTAGATAGAAACAAGGAGGAGTTAGAAACAAGAAACACAATCAAGGAGAAAATACAACCAATGATCAAAATAGAAGACTCTTCCCAAATCACAGGGCCTGGTTTTGATTAAACTGAGGCTGCTGTTCTTTTCTCATGATTTAATTATCATTACGGGCTTTCCAAGAGATCTGGTGGTTTGTTTTTACTGTAGGAGTGGTTAGAAGTGGCTAGCTATTTTGGGTGAAGGATGCTTGCTTTTTTTTTTAATGGGCTGCATTTTGCTCTTAGGAGTAGGTTTTGGTTTTTTTAAAAAAGTTTTATTTTTATTTTTTTTAGGCAAACATAGACAAACACAACATAAAACATCAAGCCATCTTCCACATATGTACATACAGTGTGTCGGTTGGTTTACAAATTGTTTTGTGCAACCACTTCATAGTCATCACTTACAATTACATTGTATATATTCTCATATTGTCAATCAAATATTCCTAAATACATTAATATCATTATTAATCAATCTTTTGACTATACTATTATTCATCCATATTTTACTTGATTTATTTTATGACAATTCGTATTATCATCCCAAATCTATCCTATAATTATATTATGATTGTGATGAAAATAATACATCTTTATATATTCTTTATATTCTAAAAATCTATTTCATTACCGTGTTTTATTGTCTTACCATTGATAAAATAAATCCCAAATCTTATAAAATTGTTTATCTTCTTGTTCTCTAATTTCAAATGTAATCTACTCATTTCAGCACATTCCATTATTTTCTTAATAACTTCCTCCTGCGTTGGTATTTTCTCATTTTTCCAGTTTTTAGCAAATACAATCCTAGCCGCTGTTAATACATTTACAATCAAATATTTCAATTCTTTACTGTATATTTCAGGTAAAATTCCCAATAAAAATATCTCTGGTTTCAAATCTATGTTTTTTTGTCATTTTTTGCAACCATGTGTGGATTTTAGTCCAATATCTTTTAGCATCTGCGCACGTCCACCACATATGGTAATATGAGCCAGGTATCTGATGACATTTCCAGCACTTTTCAGATTTGTTCTTGAACATTCTTGCTATTCTTGTCGGGGGGAAATGCCACCTGTAAAACATCTTATACAAATTTTCTTTATATGCTGTTGACATTGTCATTTTATAATTTTGAGACCACAATTTTTGCCATTTCTCTAAATCAATCCCATATCCAAAATTTCTCCCCCAAGCAATCATTGTTTCTTTGACTTGTTCTTCTAGCTTAATTTCTAATAAATATCCACACAATTTTTTAATCACCTTTTCATCAGTACCTGTCAAAATCTTATCTAAATCAGTCAATTTATCATAGAAACCTTCTGTTTTAGAATCTTTATCGTATCTAGAATGTATTTGCACGTATGAAAACCAATTCATCTTTATACCTTGTTCCTCTAGTTTTTGCATAGATTTAAGTTCACCCTTTTCATTCAACATTTCACCATATCTGTTTGTTCCTTTTTGTATATTATAGGATAAGAAAATGCTTCGATAGTCGATAGCCAGACTGGAATTTTCAAATAACATTGCCTTTTAATCTTCTCCCAATTTAGCCACAGAGCCTCCCATATATAATGTCTTCTCAAGTACCCCTGTGTTTTAGTTCCTTTGTACCATAGGAAGGCATGCCACCCCAACAGCAGATCATGTCCTTCTAATGTCAACAAGCTTTTAGGAGTATTTTCAAGGGTGGGGAAAGGAACATTTAGGAATGACTAATGGCCACAATATTAAATGGTGGTTTATGCAAAAGCACAAACAAAACATTAGATGGATAGAAGAGAATGTTTGTAGCTCAGGGTTGAACTGTGGGGTCCTTGGTGCTCTTTGAGCTTGGTTATCTTCTTGCAGACATTTTGCTACCCAAAAAGGTAACATCATCAGGGCTAGAAGGGAGTGGGGTGGTAGAGAGGAGGAGGAGGAGGAGGAGCACGACGACTGTGGGGTCCTTGGTGCTCTCTGATCTTAGTTGTTTTCTTGCATATGTTTCATTTTCCAACGAGGTAACATCTGGCCCTGATATGTAGTTATGTAACACAGCTGGCAGGGGATTTCTGGAAGTTGAAGTCCACAGATCTTTCAAGAGGGCCAAGGTTGAGAAATACGTTTTAGTAGCTCTGCAAGGTTGTGTGGCTTTAAATATAGGAACATAGATAAAGTCCCAGGAAGTAAAATAATACCACTGCT